CGCATGGTGAGGCTCGTTCACGTGCCAACGCGTGGGAAACAGTCGCATCGATGCGGAGGAGCTTTGCCTTTGTCTCTTTAGAATGACGACTGCACTGATGCTTATTCGACGTTGAGATTGCTACACCATCGGCGCAACGCTCCGTGGTCACAAGTGCCGCTGGTGTTGGCGTTTCGTGTTCAAGTGCGCCGGATGCGTCGCGCTCGCTAACTGTAGTGATTACGGCCCCGAACAGTGCGACCGCATCGTTGACTGTGTATTTGCCAACACGTTTTAGGACGTGTGATTAGTTAGCAGCAGAGGATAGCAAACGTGTTGCTGTGCAACCAAAGCTCAGCGCTATGTCGACAACTGACGGCGCTATGCCAGCACCCAACGGGCAGCAGAGAAAGACCCTCTCCATGCGAGAAAGGCTCAGGAACGGCCTCAACACAAGCAGTAAAAGAGGAAAAGGAAAAGAGTCCTAAAGAACATTTCTAGCTACTTTGCAGGGTCATTTTAGACCAAGGAATGTGTTCGAAACTTTCAAAGTTCATTTTCTCAGAATGACTTTTTTGGCTAGTGAGGCTGTTTAGTCGTCTGGTGATATCTCTGCAACTGTTCATCTGATTTTTATCAGATTTGTTTTATTATGTACTCTAATAAATAACCCACACACTGACAGAGCCATTTTTTTAAATTTACTGCGTCGGTAATTTGTGATAATTACAATTTAATTAATAACATCTCAATGGCAAACTTCAAATCCAGTGCTCGGCTAAAAATTTCAGCAAGGGAATTAAAAAAAGGGCTCTGTCCTAGTGTAAGGCACCCATCCAGAAATCACCACAGTGAATTTCACGGTGCTATAACATTTATTAAATTCACCACAGCCTGACTAACAAACCTATGTGGACTATTCCAATAAATGTCTGTAACTTGAGAAACAGTGAACGTAAACGCATGAAATTTCGTGGTTATTCAAATGACTTTACAATAAGCCAACCCTGTAAATTTCATTTGGATATGTCAACAAACAAAAAAGTCGCCTTTCCATGGTAGCCTCCCCCCTTAAGGATGAGACGAGGTGGTCAAAGCTTGTTCCATTTGCCATCTTACCACGAGGTGAACCGGAGTTGTACATGCTGTAACTGACATCATGAATTGTGTCATGCGTTCCCCTTGGAGGATGTTGAAAATAAAGAAGTGGGGCACGTAGAGAAAAAGAAGAACAATGTAGAAGAATGTGGAGCTAGCCCTGATGGAGTAAACATCTGTTCTTGACCTACGACCAAGGGTGTCATAAAGAAAAGGATGACAAGAAAAGGCTCTAAAAGGCCGCTCTTCGAGCTTACGCTGTGACAGTGCTGTGCTTTCCGCACAGGCCTGGCGTATTTTTAAAGGGACTTCTTCCATTATGAAAAATTTGAAATAATGGTTACTTTGAGCATGTGGCCGAGGTGAACTCCTCATGCGAAATGCAATGGTAGGCAACCAGGGAACAATTCCCAGGGAAATCTAGACAATGAGTTTTTTTTTTTTTTGCCACCATGTGCTTTTTGAAGCGATTTTAGCCTACATTGAGGTAAATTATAGCCTTTATTTTTTTGTCATGAAAATAGAAAAACTAAACTTGTGGAAGCAATTAAAACAAAAATATGCACAGATTATTTTTTTAAGGTTTTCGCTAGCTGTTACTAGGAATAAACCATGTGTTTATAACAACAAGAATGATTTTGAGTGCGAAAGCGGTTGTGAGATCACAACAAGGGTGCCGCAGTTCACCGTCGCCGCTGGTTTTTATAATCAATATCACGCAAAATAAGAAAAAAGAGAAAGAATATTCAAGACGGAACAGTGTTGGAAACTGCGTCTTACGCCAAAGCCCAGTGTGCTGTCACCGGTGCTTGAAATTCCTCTGCTCGAAACGGCTGTACATAATATGGCAGAAGAATAAAATAATCACCAGGCATCCCAGAATGCGAATTGCATTACGAGTGGGTCGTTGAATGCTTCCAGCCCATTACAAAAGCCTCAGCCATAATTTTTCATCGTTATCAGCCACCTGATCAATTATTGAAGCAGTGGGTACCTTGCAAGCATGCTTGTATTAGTAGCTCCAAAAGAGTTTGCTACAGGTTCTATACATGATGCTTTTATAGCTGTGATTATGCTTGGCTTTTTGGGCATGCCTGGCATTTTTCTATTTGTCACTTTACGGTCACACAAAATATGTTAGACAATCTTTTTGTGAAACTGAATCGTTTGAAGAATTCACTTAAGCAATACCAATACAGTCGAGCCCGCTTATAACAAACCTGAGCGTGATGCGGCATCCATTCCCTGTATCCCGAAGTTCGTAGTAAATGAAACACAGCTTTTTAAGAAAGTTGCGAGTGAAAACACAAACACTTTTGCCCCCAAAAGTCCGCGATGCACGTGTTTAAAAGAGCAGCAGCGATAAGGGCGGTCTCGAGTTCATTTAAAACGGCAGGGTGCTCGTTTGCCGAGGCTCGTGGCATAAGCTGCATGACGCACTGACTCCAAAGTATCGTTGTTCTCGCAATTCGATTCCTCCAAATCGCTTTTGCCACGTACTTCATTCACAATGCCCTAATCTGTGCACGGTTCCGCAGTGTCGGCATCATCATCGGCCGTAATTAAACCAACGCAACAGATGTCCCACCCGCTCTCCCAGGTCCGAGTCGACGACGCGCTGCCACAATCTGCCGCCACAGTGATTCTGTTCGGAAGCTTCAGGCTCGGCATCGGGCCCGGCATTGACGAAGTCGGCCTCGCGAAAACAATTTCGCGCGCATGTAGCCGTCACCGCCGCCCACGAAATATTCACCATCTCCACAGCTGAATACCGGGAAGCCAGAAGCGGCAAGTTGGCTGCCAGGTGGTCAACATTTATAAGCAAACGCTCCGCAACGCGGCACCTAACGCGCGGATTACGCTCAAGCCAAGCGGTCACACTTTCGATGTTTTGTTGAGCGGCAGGAAAAAACGTGCTAGTCCTCCCGTCGGCCATCATGACCACACGCACAGCAAGAGCGTGCAAGACGCGCACACGCGACACACATGCCAAAACGCGTGGAACAGCTCTGGGCCCGTTTCCAGACAGAAAACGAAACTAATTCGAGCAGCGTGGCAAGCATCGTGGAGCGGTGGAGACGGGCGAAGGGATTGTGATCAAGGGAGAAGAGCAGACTTGTGAGAGAAGGGCAAGAAGTTGCGTTAAAGAGAGGGAGAAAATGCGGCGCGAGGGCGACCTTGAAAACCAAAACACTTGCGAAGGAGGCAGGGTGGGTAGCTTGCTCGAAAGGTGCGCGAAACTCGCACGCAAAAAAACTTGGAAAGAGTGCATGGTCACCTGAACCGGTGTGCGCGACGGTGTTCGAAGAAACCACGGTTGTGCTCAAAAAATCGTTTTATTGCGCCAGCGGGTTTGCGTGGCCTCACAGACTTCTATATTTTGCGATTCATTCCGTGCAAATTAACAGCCGTTTTCGCGCTTCCGCTTGCGCGCGGAAGGCATCCTGAGTTGAGTGCGAAGTGAGCGAGAGCAATTCCTAAACACGAAACCAATCGCCAATTATCAGAGTCAGTGGGGTAGCGTACACGCATGCACTAGATGCAGACTATCGAATACAGTTGGTGCCTGACGATGTTAGCAAATGGTCTGGTTACTCCAGGCAGGCGACGTCAACGACAGCACCAGCGATCAAAAACGGGGTAGATGGCCGACCAGTCTTCGAAAGATCGGTGGCATTGTGAAAACACGGGCCTCGTCTGGCGATGTGGGGTGCTCAAGAGTAGCGGGGGGGACAAAGGACAGAGGGGTGCGTAACAAAAGCAGTCGGAAAAGGCGGCAAATAGAGGGGCGCGGAGGCGTTTAACAATAAGAATGTATGGACACCTCGCCGATGCCTGATCGGTGGTCGAAATTGGTTTCTTGGGAAGTCGGCAGACCGCTGACTTCGTTCGCTGTAACTGATCAGCGGCGCTCGGAGACGTTCGTTATAAGTGCAATTTTGTGCCATTCAACCAATGTATATTTTCACGGTCACGTGGATATTGTTTGTTTTAAGCGAAAGTTCGTTTTAAGTGAGGCTGTTATATGTGGGTTCGACTGTATTACACAAGTTTAGAGTAAATTTATGGGAAAAATTTGACTCTCAATATGTGAACGGTGTGAAAAAATGAGAAATAATGAAAGAATGTTTGTTATCCTGGACGAAAAGATATTCTTTTTTACAGTGATCTACACATAAAAAATTTACCAGAATGCTGTGCTTTCCTTGATAAATTGGGAAAAAAACAAGCACAGTAAAAAAAATCTGTCTTTGGTGTATTTGGAAGGTACGGGTGCCGCTTTTTCCTTTTGATGCGGAAGTGCCCTGTCAGATGTGAAAACGGATCTAAAGCACAAGCAGAGATGTCATGTGGTCTGCTTTATAATGTAGCCTCCACTAGCGTCTAGACGCCTCAACTAACGACGCCGTCTCGCAGTACTGAGGTTACATGCGACATTTAGACGCTTCAATAGAGCGGGCGCAAAAGAACCTGCTACTGCGCAATCTGGGAAGCCATAGCTGAAACACATATTGATGCTCATAAATAGTGACCCAGTCCGACTCCTCAATGTTATTGCAATGTATGGTCATAAGATACATGTTTCCCTAGTCTCTTGAATGTTCCCTGTAATGAGGTTTTACTGCATAACAACTGTGAGTTATAACAGTGAAATATCTTATCTTGTTCAAATATGAAATGTGGGCTTGACTGTGCAATGAAAGGGAAGGTATTTGTGATGCACTGCCATCGCATTCGGCCTTGAATAATCACCCAGCCATTATGAGTGGAAGAAAAAGCAGGTTATTGCATCTGAATAGCTGTGTGTTTCCACATTTCTGTGCAGGCTTTGTCAAACATATGCCTCATAAACACTTCAAACAATAAGCAAAACTGCAAAGCAGCTCCAAGTTTCTTGCCTGCTGACATGCATGGCCACTCACCCCATAATTTTCTCTTCAAGGGTGCCCCTGGTGATCAGCCTGTAAACATTCACCACTTTCTTTTGACCAATGCGATGGGCACGATCCATAGCCTGAAAGAAAATTACAACAAAAACTCAGCATGTCAGTTCAACGTCAAGCTACAAGGCAACACACACAGAATCACACATGCTTGGTATGTCCCTCAGATGTCAGAAGGCAATGTTTTTACTCAGCTATAGTTTTAAAATGCATTTACAATTCTCTGCCTATCATTTAGAGCTTGTTGGTCTCTGCACATACCCTACCTATGTCTGCCTTATCCTGTTATCTTTTTGTTTCAGATGCTTTATGCAGGCCTCTGATGTATACTGAATATTGTGTCAACCAACCCCTGGTGCTTTGTAAACACACCAGTGCAGTAAGGTTCTTTTAGATACCAACGAGTGGAGCAAGGCTATGCCTGTGTCCTGCAACCAACCCGGTGTGGCCATGCCGGTCACATGACTCCTGTTTTGCTGGCTAATCACCCCTCTTCCCCCTCCATAACTCCACCAGCAAGTTCTACCTCAGAGTGTCTAGTTTTATTTTTTTATTATAGTGCCACACTGGTTCAAGTTTTGAATGGTGAGTGAGAACTTGTAGAGTAAGTCCTCGCAGAACTTGTAATCTACAGAAATGCTCTACAGATCTTTGATATCAACAGAAAATGCTTTTAAGCTCTTGTCCTTTTGTTCAAGGCTGGGAAGTTATCAGTGACTCATTTGGTGCCTTCCAGAATATCCCAGGTGTTCATAACAAAAGCCTTTTAGAGTCTTTTTTATCAAGGTGACTTTCCTTCATCATGTCTCGCCCCAATCTTTAACAGCGTACTATAACTTGCATATCAGGAGTGACTTTCCTTCATCATGCCTCGCCACAATCCTTAACGACGTACTATACCTTGTATATCAGGACTGATTGCTGATCTTTTTTTGTATCTCGCTTTTTTTTTCTCTTACTTTAAACTTATTTTGTTCAATGGTTTGAATACTAACATGCCATTCAGTTCTGTTGTGTTTTATTCAGTGATGTTTTAATTTGAATAATGTAGTCATTTCACAATTTGTGCTTGTTTTTTTTTTAACTTGTTTTACGTCATTATCTCACGCGTATACTCATCTGATGTTCATTGCCGTTGTATTCCTATTAAAATTATTATTAATATTTTCTCATTGTTATTCCTGTTAGGACTTGTATAATAATTGACAATCAGTTCATGTTATTGTTTGTATGAAAATTGTACGAATGCGTGTATGTATTTCTTTTATGCTCCCCTTACACAATGCCCTGTTGGGTCTGTAAGGTATTTTGAATAAATAAATAAATAAATAAATAAATAAATAAATAAATAAATAAATAAATAAATAAATAAATAAATAAATAAATAAGGTGCTAAGAATGCTCGACCTAAGTTTTGTTTTTGAGGTATGTTGTTACGTACACAACTTTCTGGTTTTTACCGAGTGGAACGACACTGCCTGCCAGCACAAAACTGCCTATATTGTGAAGACATTAAAGAATGTTTTAAATTGATTTTATTGACTCACGAGATACCATTTGACAACAGCTTACACTTTTTAGATTTACTGCATTTATTTGCATAATCCTCGTACTCTTTTTAGCGAAATACAGATGAAAAGTTGGGAGGTGCGAGAATTGCGGAGGGGGTAAATTTTTCAGCTAAAATGTATAAAGCGAAAAAGAAAGCGAAGCGGCCGTGGATCGGGGTTCCCACATCACCAACCAACAAGCTTTGAGAAGTACTAATTAAGACTTGCCTAAACAATAAACATAGGTTCAACACAAAGCAAGATTTATTTGTAGACAGTAAAGCCACTAGGGAATGGTGTCTTTAGGGTCTCCACATGGAGACCCTTGACGTAATCAAGAAGTGCAGCCTGCTGCCGCTGCCGCTAGCGAACACAAAGCTCGTCAACTTCGAAGTGCCTGCCCGCAGCTCTGTTGCCATTCTCTAATGCATGATCAACGCCTTTTAACTTGATGATAGCTGTGCAGTTCCCTATTGCCCCTTAGCGTAAACACAGAACGAACACGACGACGTATGGTACAGGAACTAACACGCCGCAACGCGTACTTGCTACTTGTGGCTTGGCTTGAATTGGATCAGGGCTGTGTGTGTTGATAGTATGCATAATGCTTAAGAGACAGCACTAGGCTGTTGTACACTATCATCATCAGTGGCGATTTTAGGCAATGCGAAAATTAGTCTCAGAAAAAAAAAAAATCTTGTTTTTGTTGCTCAATGCGAAGGTTGCGAGAATTACGCGAGTAAATACAGTAAATTTGATCCTTTCATCTGACCATGTGTGCTGACTGTATGAACCTAGAACTGGGAAACCTCTTTTACTCTTTGACTCCTCCCATTCTCACTTAACTGAGGTATTACTGATTTTTGTCTCATCAACTTCCCCAAGAAATCATGTCAAGCAGCTCAAGCTAAACAGCTTTTAAATGCTGGCTACCCAGCTATCCTAGTGTCATTTATAACTGAAAAGCTATTAAAAAAGTAAAGACTATGATGCTCAGCTAGAGCCAAACGACCGAAAAACCATATGTGCTCACTTCCCACTGAGATAGGAAACGTAGCATGAAAGTGGTTGCACCAGTTACAGCGGCTTTACAAAGCAGTCCATCCCCTCAAGTCACCCGTCATTTTGCTCAACCAAGCACAAAATGCCGTTTGTACCATGAGGGTTCTTTACTCAATACTGCTCTCACATGGTAATATCAGCCAAACAGGGCATTGCCATAATGAAAGGCTAAAAGAGCAACCCTAAAATGTGCACAAAGCAATCCAAAGACACATTGGAATCGATTGCTGCGATTGTGTATGTTCACTTTAGTTTCATCAATGTGAAGTGATAAAAAAGCATGAATCACAAATTACCCGAGAAATAATACAAGTGGAATGTATATAACGATCACATGTAGAGTGCCTTTCATTGGCTTTATCGGAACAGGAAGCATCCTTCAGGCAAATCATCTATAAAACTTTGGTCTGATGGTGTAGCCTAATCTATGCAATGTTCAGGTATACAGTCAAACCTCAATATATCGAACACGGATATATCGAATTATTGCCTATATTGAACGGTTCCTATATCACGCGGGAAATTGCATGCATTATTGATTTTTTATTTCGAACAAAGTTTGACATATAATGGATATATCGAACTCAGCCACCCCAAACCGCTCGCGCTTCGTTGACAGGCGCTGAGCTTTCCCGCAACTCTCGAAAGTAGCGGTAGAGCGGCGGGCGTTTACGAATGCTGCACACATTGATGGCGCCGAGAGCGCCCCTTTAACATAGCGGCGTACGCGCGCCGCAGCCTTGCGGTAGAGGTTCTTGAATGAGGAAAGTGAAGAGAAAAGCGCGGAGCCGTTATTTTCTTTCAATACGAAGGCACCGACACGGCTTCGCGCCGGGGAAGGGGGAGTGGGAGGTAAAGATTGAGGAGGAAAGTATAGGAGAAAAAGGACACAGACGACTGTCTCGGACGCGGCCTGCGCTGCCGCCAGAAAAGGGAAAGCAGTCAGGCGAGCCGGCAAGGGTGCGCCATGTGCGCGCTTTACACACAGACTCACGCCGCAGCCTTGCAGCTCGCAGTCGTTACAGTCTCTATGGTGTCAACGGCACACTGCGCACTTGTTGCAAGCTCCTCCCCCATAACATCGGCAGGCATCGGTCGTGCTCGCAGTGTTCGTGCATTCGGAGTTAGGCCTGTCGTGCGCGACAGGCCTAACTCCGAACGGCAGAGCTCACGGATGTGGAGATTGTCGCCGAAGCTACTGCTGAGCAGCCAAATGAAGACTCTGCCGAGGTGGATCCCGCAAGCGCTGATGGTGCCCCGCTTCCGACATCAGCTGAGGTCGTAGCTGCCTTGGCCCTTGTGCGCTGCCACTGCGGCGCGATTGAAGGCACCGGCCTATCACTTATGGATCGCCTGAACTATATTGAGGACGCAGTCGTCAAACACGCCATGGCCAACAAAAAGCAGGCTACTCTTTTTCAATATTTTAAAACAACACAATAAATACTATGTTTGAATCTTCAAGTGAGTATTTACTGCACCATGCTTGAACGGTTCGTTGGTCGTTTTCAGCAAGCTTTTGACGCATTTTTTTCGTGAATTTTTTATATCGAATTCTGGATGTATCGAACTATTTTGCGATCGCCGCGGCATTCGATATACAGTCGCTGACCAATAAATCGGACACCGATAATTCGGACATGCTCGGTAATTCAGACAGTCGCGCGGCACCGCCGATGGTCCAATAGAAGTAATGTGTAAAGACGACCGATATTTCGGACAGCTGCCAGATCTACATTCAATAATTCGGACCCTACCCCACGGTCGCGCACGCCGAATCAGCAGCCGTTATCTCCTCCGACACTTAAACCATACAAAGTATGGCCTCAGAGATCAAAACGAAAGCTACATAATTGGTAATCTATGAGGCTTTATTTCGATCGCAACTTTCTGCCTCAGAGATTTGTACTTAAAAATGCCGATCTTGGAGGCACGGCTCAACTGTGGGGGATCGTATCGACATCACGATCATCCCACATTCCGGTTCCTATATACCCTCTATACCCTCGCTGTGCGGCACGGCTGTGCAGCTATCGCCACCATTCTGTCACATGTGTGTGCGGTACAGTGTTTCGCTGAATTCTGCGCGCGTTCATATTTATTTTGAGACTTGCTTTATTTTACGTCCAGCTGTCTCACAAGATCTGAAGTTAAATGGCACCAACGGTGCCCTCATAGCCAGCGCCGAAGGCCGCGCCGACGAAACGCGGCAGATATACAACGCTAACCATGGCAAAGAAAGCAGCCATCATTCAGCAAGTGCTCAGTGGTCGTCCGCAAGTCGGAAGTTGCTCGAGAGTTCAACATTTCGAAGCAAACCATATCGGACTACATGAAGAATAAGGACAAGAGTTTAGGCGCAACGGAGACATCATCCGGAAGTGAACAAAAGAGGGTGCACCAAGGCGTTCATCCGCAGTTGGAAGAAGCGATGAGCATTTGGCTTAACGCTACCGTCGCTCAACGGGTTCCCGTTTCCGGCCACCTATTGAAGCAAAAGGCCGAGACATTGGCACTTCGCCTTGGCATTGATGATTTAAGTTCAGCGATGGCTGGCTCCGGAACTTTAAAAAGCGGTACGACCTCACTTTAAAAAAAAATGTGTGGTCAGAGCGGTGCCGTGGATAGCACACTGGTAGCGAACTACCGCGGTGGAAAGTTGGTGGTGCTGCTTCGGCGCTACTCGGCTGACGACACCTTCAACCTCGATGAAACCGGGTTTTTCTATAAGCTACTACCGGAGAAGACACTCGCCTGTTCTGGAGAACCTTGCCACGGAGGTAAACTCAGCAAGGAACGAGTCACTGTCGTTGTCGGCTGCAACGCTTCTGGCACGGAAAAGCTCCCGCTGCTGGTAATCGGGAAATCGAAAAACCCTCGATGTTTTAAGGGGAAAAAAAATCTGCCTGTCTGGTACGAAGCCAATACGAAGGCGTGGGTCACGCAGAAGCTGTTCGCAGAGTATGTCGGAAAATTGGACCGAAAGTTTGAATGGCAAAAGTGCAAGGTCCTTTTGTTCGTAGATAACTGTATTGCTAATGCGCCGATCAGCTGTCTGAAAGCCATCGAGCTAGAATACCTGCCGTTGAATACGACCGGTATTCTGCAACCTATGGACCAAGGTATTATTAAGAATTTGAAGGTGCTGTATTGTTCACGCTTGCTGCAACGCGTGTTGCTATGCTTAGAGAGCCAGATAAAATACAACGTTGATTTGATGTCAGCCATGAGCATGCTTGCTGATGCCTGGAAGGCAGTGTCGGCAGGCACGATCAGCTACTGTTTCCGGCACACAGGATTTCTGTTGCGTAGTGAGCCCGACACCGCCGACACTGCAGCCGAAGAACCCGACAATGCAACTGAAGAGCCGGACCTGCTGCCCAGCGCATCGAGCTCAGGTGCGGACGTTATCGACGACTTGCGAGGCTGCGGTGTGCCGTTTCACGACACTGTTACGTTTGAAGACTTTGCAAACGTCGACAGTGCAGTGTCGTCGTGTGCCGAATTGAATGAGGACATAATTGAGCAGGTTCTGCAACCGTCAAACAGCGGTTCAGACTCTGACGATGATGATGCGCTGTGTGCTCCGGAGCCGTCGCATGCGGACCTGTCTCGAGCCCTCGCTGTTCTTTCATCGTCGTACAGCGATCGTATCACACTGGCAGGGATACAGGCGGACTTGCGTGCACGTAAGCGGAAGTGCATGCAGCAACGCATTAACGACTTTTTTTAGGCCACCGGTAGACTGAAGTGTCAATAAAAGTTTTTTTTTTCTGACGCATTCGTTTTTTCGAACTTTTGATTTCGGACTTTTTTTCGGACTTATTTGCATTCCCCGTGGAGTCCGAATTATCGGTCGTCGACTGTATCAAGGTTCGACTGTATTCATATGCTTGCGAAATTGTAAACATTTGACGCAATTTTCCAATAAAGCACAGTTGGAAGTTAGCGCTCTGTCGGTCTGCTTGGCCGTTTCTTCTCTCCTGTAATGCACTGTACCAGTTCAAGTACAACAAACCAACTCACCCAATCTTAAACACTGGAGGGAATCAACTAAGAACGGGGCCAGCCTACACTTGTGTAAAAGTCTTCTTGGCTGTTTCTCTTCCACGCCAACATGGGGTACTTGAGGAGCAATGAAATTTGCCCACCTGTAGGTCTTTCATGGGGTTCCAGTCATGCTCAACGAAGATGACTGTGTCGGCACCAGTCAGGTTGAGTCCCAGCCCACCGACCTGAGTTGTGAGCAGCAGCACATCAATGGAAGGGTCTGCATTGAACCGCTGAACCAGGGCCTGACGCTGGCCTGGGGGCACGCTGCCATCGAGGCGAAGGTAGCTGACACTGCTCATGTGGGTCCTGCACAGCCACAAATCCACCAGATAGGTGTAAATACTCTTGACAGACATGCATGGGTACCACATGGGCAGGGCTGAATTAGAGAAGTGGTGCAAGAAAACAAGTGAGAGCCATGCCGTCGTTTTTATTAACTTTTTACCATCGGGGCACACGGATGTCTCTGTATTAATTTCGCCCAATGTTAGAGTTGCGCACGGCGACTCAAGTTTGATCACTACCGTACAGTTCCATTTTCTGTTCTTTGACAAGAGCAATTCAAGTAAAAAAGTGTCAGAGTTTGCTAGACAGAAATATTTTGCTGTAATGGGACCAGGACCGTATATATTAAAAGCTTATCTCAAGTAAAATTAAAGCTCGTCTGATAAGTGACAGTACAGCAGTTATGCAATGAACAACGCAGAACTACGTTTACCACTGAGTCTCGAAAATGCTGCATTCACACACTATTTATTACTCCTCATGTTTGGGATGATGCCAAGTGCGCATTACAATGTGCTTCAACTACAAAGTGGCACTACACCGAAATGATCCTGGCGAAGAGAGGGTACGACTACGACGATACACAGCCCTCTCGGCAAGTGCCCGAGCTGACAGAGCTAAGCAAGGCCTAATGTGTCTCTAGATCGTGTTAGGCAAACATACAACCACTTAAACTTGTGCTAACCGAGCTGGCCCAACCACCTTTTGAGGATGAGCATGAGGTATCTGCATATGCTAGCCTTATGTGGCTAGCAGATGACACAGGGAGCAATCCACACTAGGCCCGCTTCGGCCCATAGCTACCGGGCGGCACCTTCGCTAGATCTTGTGCGAACTGCCGGTGATAGACGCTCCCAAATCAGACTTTGGCACAGTTTGGTGCAATTCCCATTCATAATATCTGGATAATAATAATAATAATAATAATAATAATAATAATAATACCTTTTATTTCTTCAAATAAAACAGTACATATGACTAGGCCTGCCAAAGCCAATTGGTGGCTTGAGTGGCAGAGCCTGGCAGACAGCGTTACAAGATTGTATCTTATGGCCTAAGAGGTATGACAGGACAAAAAACAATGTGCATATAAGATTAGAAACAACAAAGCATATAAGCAATAGTTACAAGCATTATGCAATATTTACAAAAATTGAAAGTGAAAAGGTGTAAAGGAAAAAAGAAAGAATTAGAGCAACTGCTTCTTAAGCAAAGTAACACACTGGATAATTGTGCAGCATCATGCTTGCGAATGAGTATATATGAAATAACACACGACATGCATTACAATTGTAGATCTGGATGATGCAGTAAATCTGATTTGGCGCACTTTGGCGCAGTTGGAGTAGTGAAATCACTACTCCAACTTCGGCGTTACATTAGGTAACGGTTCAGACCAGGCAAAAATGCCAGGTGTCATTGGAAAGCAAACATCGCATGCTTTCCTAATTCACACAATTCAAATTTTTTCACAGAGTGCAATGTGTCAGCAAACAATGCCTAAAATGGGGAGTAGTTGCTACTGTGGGACCACTACCTTAAGACACAGAGGTCTTGAGTCCCGGTCACATTGTGAACAAAGTCATGAATGACAGAAATTGAGACTTTTGTACTGCTCTTATGCAGAATGAGTACCAGGTTTATGAATTCATTAGGATAATAAAGATGTATTGATAAAATTGACATTTGTTTATTGTTTTCCAGCATAGGTAGTTTGGCATAAATTTTATTCAGATATTTTTTCGAGTCCCATGAAATTCAAATGAGAAGATTTTGTTCTACATAAGTTGAAAATGAATGTTTAGTTGCATCTGAAAGCAGGCTACCCCTATATTTTAAGTCAATTTTTAATAGAACGGCATCCATGGAAAAGAATGGCTCTCATTAAAGGGCCCCTCATCAGGCCTCATAACAAATTCTAGTTAAATGCTGGCAATTAAATGTTCGCTGATGACTGTGTTATATACCGTGTTATTAACAGCCACTCTGACGTCTATCTTCTTCAATCAGATATAAACCGTGTTCGTGACTGGACTAACATGTGGAACATGGAATTAAACACTAACAAATGCAAGCACATGCGCGTTTCACGTCGCAATACAACATTGCCCTCTTATCATCTTAATAATACTAACCTAGAACCTGTGTTATGTTACAAATATCTAGGCGTACTCATCACTTCTGATCTTTCCTGGAAGATTCATGTAACACATGTAACCAATAACGCTAATCGCACGCTGGGCTTTATACGCCATAATTTTCATCTTTCTTCCTTTCCAGTAAAATTACTTCCGTATAAATCATCAGTACGTTCCAAAATGGAATATGCTGCATCTGTGTGGGACCCCAACCAAGAAACACTCATTCATCAGCTTGAATCCATCCAGTATCGAGCTGCTCGTTCCATTCTTTCCAACTATCATCGCACCTCCAGCGTCACTTCCAGGAAAACAACTTTATCATTACCTCTGCTCTCACAACGTAGAGAAATATCTCGCCTCTGCCTGTTTCACAAGATATATTACTACAATTCAGTCCTTAAGAATAAATTGATAACCCCTTCTTCTTACGTATCCGCTCGCATCGACCCTCGTCATAAGGTTGGCATTCCCACATGCCACACCAACCATTTTTACAATTCATTCATCCCCCGTACGTAAGCAAGTTGGAATCACCTTCCCCGATCTGTAGTCGAGATGTCTAATACCTCTATGTTTAAGGCTGCTATAGCTAACCTGTCGGCATAATTTTTAGGAATATAGTATTTCCATTTTTCGGTAGACCTGTTAAGCTTTGTAGTTATTTGATACCTGTTTTTGTTCTTATAATGTGCATTATTTCTCGTTGGCTTCCCTCACTGATCCATGTAACCACCAATTTTCCGCTTTTTCATTATGTTGTGTAACCCACTACCCTCTGTAATGCCCTCGGGCACTGAGGATATTGAAATAAATAAATAAATTGTTGTGTGCTCAAGAAGAGCATCATGCCACTAGAATTTTTTCTATCAGTTTGTTAGGAGCTGAGAAAACCGGTATATTCAAATGGCGTGAAACAATAATGAGAGGAGGCGAACTTGAAACTCTTGCCATTCGCCCTACATAGCCTTCGCAAGCCAAATCTCTTCCCTATCCCCTCCGGCATCCAAGCAAATGGTCACGTGCGCATGACCACCAAGGACGCGAGCGGCACACTTGTTTTGTTGACCAGCGTTATCTACTGCCTGCGGGATGGTTTGGAAACTCTGGCTTAGACGCGGTAGAATAAATGAGCACACTAAGTGCTCAAACGTGCAGGATCATCAACTTCATTTGCAGGGCTCGCGTATGCTAGATGCACTAACCACAGTGACACGAACGCAAGTGAAACACAAGCACACTACACTCGTATCCCGTTGCAATCATAGGGCAAAAAATTGAAAAAGTTGCGCACATTCCCTTTTTCTGTATCATTATTTATCTCTAGTTTTATTCATTTATTCCAGTAACAAATTACACAAAGTACACATGTCATGTGAAATAATTTTAACCCTGTCACGTGCTTCTGTTGGGGACATCAGAGCACAGTCATCTATGTAGAGAACTGATTTTACAGCACTACACTCTATGTAGAGCGATTCCTACTTCTACGTTATGCCTTCATTCTCTGGGTGTGCGCCCATGAGAGGAAGGGCAAGCAGCGTTTATCTTGAAATTTTATCCATTTCTGCAGCACGTAGCTTTGCAGATTTTGGCAGACGGGATCGTGAATGCCCCGTGTATGCATTGCGCTCGTCAGCCTAAAGCTTTCAAACCTGGCGAGGGGCAGGCCTTCGAGCAGGCTCCATGTGTGTGTAGATGCATAATGTATGCGTTTATTAAATATGCACTGGCTATATATATATAATAATTCACGCTGCATAGTCATTCAAGGGGCAGCGATGGCGTAGTGGTTAGAGCCTCCGCCTCGCATGCAAAAGGTCCGTGGTTCAAATCCCAATGCCGCGCAGTTCCCAACCGGATAAAAAAAAAAAAATCCGCCTGGTGATGAAACTGCAATACGAGGCCTGGGGTGCGGCCTCACCGGTAACCACCGCCAAAAACGCACTCCCTCACCAGAGAAGGATTGGCCACCCTAGTGCAGTATCTGGCCACTACCTCCCACATGCTTACGTCAAATAACTCACGGCCCTCAGTCCCCACCAGCTGCGAAGCAACTGACCACGGCGGCGGTCAGACCTGCAACGCAGCAGAGGGTGCTAAGAATCTCTGTATCCGGACAGGCCGCCATTGGAACCTGAACTTGGCAACGTTTAACGCTAGAACCTTATCTAGCGAGGGAAGTCTAGCTGTACTATTCGAGGAGCTAGAGAGTGTTAAATGGGATATAATAGGCCTCAGTGAGGTTAGGAGGACAGATGAGGCCTATACGGTGCTACAGAATGGGCACGTCCTTTGCTATCGGGGCTTGGCTGACGGAAGAGAACTGAGAGTGGGGTTCCTAATTCACAGAAACATAGCTGGCAACATAGAGGAATATTATAGCATTAATGAAAGGGTGGTAGGTATTGTAATTAAACTGAATAACAGATACAAGATGAAGGTGGTACAGGCCTACGCGCCGACATCCAGCTATGATGACGCTTCAGTTGAAAGCTTCTATGAAGACGTGGAATCGGCAATGGGCAAGGTAAAAACACAGTATACAATACTGATGGGAGACTTTAATGCAAAGGTAGAGAAGAAGCAAGCTGGAGACCAGGCAGTAGGAGATTATGGCATCGGTACTAGAAACGCCAGAGGAGAGCTATTAGTAGAATTCGCAGAACGCAATAATTTACGGATTTTGAATACCTTCTACTGAAAACGAGGAAACCGCAAGTGGACATGGAGGAGCCCTAATGGCGAAAATAAGAACGAAATAGACTTTATAATGAGTGCACACCCAGGCATCATGCAGGATGCGGAAGTGGTTGGCAAGGTACGATGCCGTGACCATAGAATAATACGGTCTCGAATTCGCCTAGACTTCAGAAAGGAACG